GTATTCCTCGTTAGTGTTTCGGAGAGGTGAAAAGTTCAAGTCCACAACATTACATTGAATGGAGTTGAACCATCTCAACCACCTTCAGTAGTTGCACAAGTATTTTCTTCGCCAACGGCTGCACCCACCTCAACTTGTTGACCGTCTCCTACAACATCATTTTGATTTAGAATAGGGATATTGGAGAAGTCTTCCTCGTCCTTAAATAATGGAATAGGAAAGGCACCTTTCTATCTACGATTTGGGTGCAATCTCATTTGACCAAAAAGTAACAATCAAAATACTATGAAATATCTCATTAATAAAACGCCACGTACATAGTAGGTACTAATGACTAGTGTCTGTTGTGTGTGTACAAAAATATTTTGTTATAGCAAAAGGATGGAATAATTGATGGCTAATAAAATACTTACTCCTAATTCATTGATCAAATAGAAACATATAGGCTATCTAATGCAACATAAGAGTTTTTGGTGCAAAATAAACGAAAAGTTAAACTAAGTAACTTTATCTAGAACGAAGATGAACCATCTACATCCTGTCAACCAACCCCAGCAGTTGCAGGAGCATTTCCTCTGCCACCAGTAGAAATCTTTTCAATTTATTGACCACGGTCTAAATCGACAATTTGATTCAAATTAGGGACATCGACGAAGTCTTCTCCATTCCTAAATGATGGAGACGGAAAGGCAGCTCTCAATCTGTGACTTGGGTACAATTGCAGATTACTTAAAAGTAACAATAAAAAACTATTAAAAATGTCGTTACTAAAACGCCATGTAAATCACATGTGTCAATGACTAATCTGTGTTATACACTGAAACGTCACGTGCTTCGCACGTGCGAATGACTCGTTTATGTTTGTGTATATATACATAAATTTTTTTTGTAATACAGCAAAAGGATAGAATAATTGACGGTTGATAAAATCCATGCCCCTAATTTGTTGATCAAATAGCAACCTATACACTACCTAACACAATATACGTGTTTGTGGAGCAAAATAAAGTATAAATATTGACAACACAACATTTTAAATTCATATTCCTCGTTAGTGTTTTGGGAGAGGTGAAAAGTTCGAGTCCAGAACATTACATTGAATGGAGTTGAACCATCTCCCCCACCCTCAGCAGTTGCACGAGTATTTTCTCCGCCAACGGCTGCACCCTCCTCAATTTGTTGACCATCTCCTACAACACCATTTTGATTT